CCCCAAAACCCCAAAACCCCAAAACCCCAAAACCCCAAAAGTCTTTTTTTGGGCAAATAGCAGGTTGTGTTTTTGTAAAAGTAAAATAAAAATAAGTCATATACATATAGTCTTAGTTGGGATTATTAATTCACACCGATTTATAAGGTTTGCACTTGATTGAGAATTTTCATCGAACTAAATGGATGATTCATTTAGCCTCACTAGTTCTCTAAGCTCTGATAGTGAACTATTTAATTGAACTGTGAGTTGATGGGGTTGCTTGATTGATTCTGTTTTTGGCGGTAGGGCTGCTAAGAGGATCGTTGCTTTTGCGCCCCTTTGATTGCGATGTTAAGGATTTCTGGTATGGAATCTCCTCAGAAATGTTATGTCTTGATATTCTGTATTGAAGATTCGGCCTTGGCCTAGTAAGTCCAACTTGAACATCTATCCTGTCCATTTCTCCTACTAAGTCAAATCCTTCAATTTCTCTTTCCTCACCATCAGGGATTATGCCTTGATCCCTTTCATAAGCTTACCAATTCCAAGCTGATTGATTAAGACCTTTTCTGGCCTATGCTTCCTTGTAAGATTGAGAATTGACGAGTTTTTGGATTTCTCTCTTTGTAGTGGCATTTGCCTAATAATCGAACTCCTCCTCAGTAATCTTTTCACAAGCATTAGCTGGCTCTCCCATTAATTATTAGCGTCTAATAATTTCTCTTTCATGCATTCTTTGTTCTCTTGCTCTAATTTCTTCTGGGTCTGCTTGATTCTTTTAAGAGACTCTTTTGAATGCTAAAATTGAGGATAATATCAATACTGAGAGAGTAAACATTGTGAGAGCTGGGCTATCGCTCTCTCCTTAATTTTCACTTTTGATTGTATTCTTAAGCTCATCTAGATTTGAAGACTACTCTCTGTAGATACGTCTAAAATCATATGATCTGTCAAGTTAGTATAGACAGAGTGCGATAATTATACTAAGTATGTAGACAGAGGGTTACTATAGTGACTTGATACCTCTAGCTTAGAAAGAATGTTCATTATTAATAAATCTGTGTCTATCATGATTTCTTGTAGACTTATTAGTAAATTCAGCAAGATACTCTTGCTCTATCTCTTTTTAAAGTTGTTGTTTGCTCATTACTTTAGGTAATATCAGTAATTTAACTGTTAAAATATAATTTTATTATCATTTTTATTCTCAAGTTAATTTCGTATATTCCTAAAGGCGGGGTTTTGGGGTTTTGGGGTTTTGGGGAGATCGGAAGAGCACACGTCTGAAC